CCTGACGTTTCGACATCCGTCGTGGATTCATCATCAGAAACATTAGCAGAAACCGTAGCTGACCCGCTTCTGCTACCGTTTTCTGCTAATGTCTCTGATGATGAATCCGTGACGGATGTCGAAACGTCAAGCGAATAAACGTACTGCCTCAGCGATCGAGTCGTCTTCTTCTCAATGCCTAGACTACTAATTGCTGTGTGCGACCGCTGTCAGGGCTCTAAGGCAGAGCGGGACGAGTAATTTAGCGATCGCTAGACGTTAATCAACGAGTTTCCATATTTATTCTTCGCTACAGTTACTACGATTATATTCTATGTAGCCTATACTATGATCTGCTCCTTCCTTCAAAAATACAAAGCCTATTTAAAAAAACAGAAATTTACATCTCTAAACCTAGAGACGATAGTTCTATGCATGAAATCAATGAAAAAACTTTTGTAGAACTAGCACATAGGTTTGGCTTTTCGGGAGGTCGCAACCCTTTCATTAAGCGTGCTCTCTTTTGATCAAAATTTAGGAAAGGCATATGGATCAACCGCTATCACGAGCACGAACTCCCAGGGTCATCAATTTACAACGGCGTCGACCTGACGGACCCTGTTGTGGATTTCCTGAAGTTCACAGGGAATAATGAATCAATGGTTGATAAAGTGAGTGTTTTCTAGCAGGTATAATGAGTTTTTTTTCTGCGCTCTCTGTCCATTTCTCGTTGTATTGGGAGTGGTATTTATTGATGTAACAGGAGTCGTGGTTCTCGCTGTCATCATCGTAGTGCTGTAGCGCCAGCGCCAAGCCCACAGAAGGTCACATGACTGCGCTCCTCTGTCCGCTTCTGGGACATCCAATCACAGGTGCCGTAGATTGCTATTGGCCTAGCAGTTGCTCAAGCGGCCAGTGCCTCACTCTAGCATGACGTTTGCGCATTCACGCGTAATTTTTAATTCAGTTTAAGTTTTTAAGCAGCATATGGTTGCTGATCGGCTTATCGTACTACAATATCTGTCCATATACCCGGGAAGCTATTGCGAGTTTAAAAAATTGCTAAAAGTCTATCTTTCCTTGTCTTATTTTAATCTTTAAATATCAATATACATTGATTTTTAGCCTATTTTCAGGTACATTTCTGGGCAGATCTCGTTCCCTATTGGTTTTATTTGTCACTTTAATTATCGCGCGCAGGTTTTTTCTTATTGAAATGATTTTTCCCCATCATTTTCTGCTTTCATACGCTACACATTTTGGTCTTTTTCTTTTCTGTGATATGAGCTAACCATAAAACCCCTGTTAACACCACTTATGCAAGACACAATGACGGGGCTAGAAATATCTAAGCATCTAGACACATAAAAATGTTAGAGTAGTAGTTGTATTCCGGCAAAGGCAGGCAACCCTGGAATAGCTATTTATGACTTTTTGGCCATCATCAGCTAGGGTTAGCCAACCTTAGTGTAGCCGCTGAAATTGCCGCCACACTCGAGTTTAGAATTCGCGTCTCGCCGGTCAGAGGCAAACGTTCTAACCATTGAGCCACGATTCCACTGTCTTTCCGGTTGTTAATAGGGTGTACATAGTTGTTGATTGTACACGGATCTGTTTTTCGGGATGTACCCATCCTGATTGATGCCTTGCGATCGTAATTACAATACTATGATGTTGCGGATGAACGGTCCTTATCCCCACATTTTGCCTTATAGATATAGGCTTCATTCGGAGTTTTAGTTTTCTCTAAAAAAACTACGGTATTTTAAAGAACAGCCGAATCACATGACCTCCCGTTTCTGTGTCTCATCCCCTCATCCTACTTTTCCTCCTAAGGATCTTGTGGTGTGGGCAAACGTTGGGTTCTGCCACATACCTTCAAATGAGGACATTCCGCATACCTCAATGCACTACTCCACCTACAGTGTAATTGTTAAACCAATCAACTTTTTCGATGCCCCACCCCAGGTGGATGTCAAAGGACCAGCTTACACCCATGATGTAAGTTTCTTTGACTCATTTGCCCTTTCTCTTTTTCCTTATCTGCAC